AAAAAAAAAAAAAAAAAAAAAAAAAAAAAAAAAAAAAAAAAAAAAAAAAAAAACATCAAATAAATAACCGCTCAGTGCAAACATTGCCCGTTACGCAGTGGTGCGCGCGAGAGTTACGCGACGATTTTCATTTTCGCCAAATTCAGCTGTCGCATGGTACATATATTGAGCTGTCTTTTGATCGATCGCTCACCGACTCATCGTTTATATGTTTTTTATGTTAGGTGCAGTGCAGGCAGGGTATTGTGCAGGCTTACCAGTATAGTTTATCTTTGCTCGCATTTACGGAAGGAAGCATCACCGCAGCGAGTGAGTTTTTTATTCTGAACAATTTAGCGACTTTTTTTTCCGGACAAAATTGTCTTCGAACGATCAAAATTCGAAAAAATCATATATTTTCTCCTTTTCTTTATGTCGGTAATTATTTGCAAAGACGGTTCTGAATTTTCGCACTGAAACTCTCGTCGTGCGGCGGATCCTCGACACTACATTGTATCGTGCATACATTGCCTTGAACTCGATAATCTCGTTACAACTCCGTTGGGGCACTGCGAGCAGCTCGAGATAATTTTCGAGGCACAGTTTTCCTTGCTCCTCTTTGTGTGCACACTCTGCACCCCCCCTCTCTCTCTCTGATTTTTTGTTTCGACCGAATCCTCAAAACCAATGCTTTCCCCGACAAAAGGGAAATCTTCCTCCGCAAAGCGTCTCCGACGACCGCAGCTCCGACCGATTAATCTTCCTCTCTCCCCATTGAGCGGTTCGATTAAACCAGGAGTAACGTAGAGTCAAGCGATCGCGTAATCTTCGACAATCGTTAAGTAAGATGCTTCGGACGAACAAGTACGTTATGATGTGCGGGTTGCAGGTTGCGCGCGAGCCGCGTAACATGTATATATATATATATATATATATATATATACATATAATTGCACTTTGCTCAGCTGAAAAGTATAAGTATAACGTACGCGCAATGTTGTTATGACAAGGGGAAAGGGGAGTGGGCGAGATGAAAGTCGTTGCGGGCCGATTCCGTCTTTTCCGGTTGTGTGTGTGTGTGTGTGTGTGTATTACGTGATGGTGTAGCCGTTGATAATCGAACTGATTGGAAGAAAGTGCTTGCATGGCGTTTTTGACGGACGCCGTTGTGTTTTGAAACGTAGCGTAAATAGCTTCGGTCGATATTTTTGAGGTTGTAACCTTTTACTTTTCAACTCTTTGAGTGTTTTTTTTTTTTTTTTTTTTTATTATTAAAATTAAACATACTAATGTTTAAATTATGCATGGGACCATACAAGATCGGTTGTTAATACATACGAGAGTCGTGGGTTGTTGAGTTTTTTTCTTTGTAACGAAATCTCTGAATTTTAAGTACCATTCGTTTTTTTGTTTTTCTTTTTTTTTTGTTCATTTATTTTAAGGCCATGTTTTCTTTAGCAGAGATCAGGTTGATTTATGTGTATAGTTTCCGCGTCTTTTTCTTCGCAACTGTCAACAAATTTATGGATAAAAAAAATAATTATGCAGGTACTTGTGTCTCGAATGATTTTTCAAAGCTTACGTAAATAGTGATCCCCTACGGTGATTGCCAGTGTGAAATTCATACATCTACAGTTAATGATAGTTTTCTTCACAATTAAAAAATATTATCAGCGAACCTTCTTCACTTTCTTCTCCCTTGGTTTCACAGTCTTTGGTTTTTCTTTTTTCGAAGGTTTATGTGAAAATATCATTAACTGCAATTTCGTAAGATAGTACGCAGCTACGAGTGAAAAAATAATGACCAGCAACGCAACTCCAACCATGTCGAGGTGCGCCAATTGCCACCAATGCAAGTCCAGTGCCGGTGACCTCAACACCAACGGCCCGTTGCGAATAACGTACTCGATCCAAAATATGGCCTTGTTTATGGGCTTCATCGGAACATCCTTGAATAACTTGGAAAGACGTACGGCGTTCGATCTGTGACGCAGAAAAAGTAAAGCGTAGAGTATTGCTCGCGTCATCGACGCAATCGTGAAAAAATTGTTGGAAAAATTCATTATACTTGTAATCTCCGTTGGTCAAGATTTCTTCGATCGCCCAGTAAACCGAATCGGCCGTCAAATTGTTGTAGTTGAGCTGAATGGCCATCCCCCGTTCGACGAGAACTCGAATGTTTCGCCACTGATCGCAAAACAGTGGAACACCGATGATCGGCACTCCGTAGTGTATCGACTCTTGGGAACTCATCAAGCCGGTGTGGGTCAAAAACAATCGAACGTTTTTATGACCTACGAAAGAATATCATTATTTTTTCCTCTAAAAATGCGTCTATGAACGCAGTATCAATAACCCACTCAAAACTGCTTGCTGCGGAATCCAAGGACGAGTCAGAACATTGTCCGGCAGACCTGGAGGCAACTTTTTGTCATCTGCCACTTTTATGAGAAACTTTAGATGATCCAGTCTCGAGATGGCCTCGTAAATGCCCAAAAGCACATCGGTAGGCAGTGTTTCGATAAGCACCATCGAACCAAAACTAAAGTAAACAACTCCATCCTCGGCCTCGTCCAACCATTTTTTCAGATCCTAAAAACAAACATAATTCGAATTTAGATCGGCCATATGAATTGTTATGTTTGTTATTATAAGCATAAAAAAAAAAAGTGTACCGTTGGTAGCTCTGGATTGTCCTCGATGTGCAAGCCACTGACTTCGATCATCGACGAGACAACAGGTTTAGGGCCATGGATCGCCGGATGCCGGTTTATTATAGTCAAAGCTATGCTCCTCTCGATGTCTCGTATACTCGGCATGTTTGGATCCAAATACTTTCTCATCGCGGTGGTTTGAGGTTCATCCGTCAGCGAGTGGAATTTGTACAGGTTGTTGTAATGCTTGTACATATTTTTCATTCGATCCCAAAAATTGTTGGCGTCATACTTGTTGGTGTAAATATTAGCAGCATAGGCGAGGTTGTCGTCGTTACCAATGAAGTAGCTCATCCACGGAAATTCTATCGAAGCCGATACGGCGACTACCGGCACTTTTAAGACGTGGCCGATACCAAAGAAACAATTTGCTCCGTATGCCTAAAGAAAAATCATCCAAAAATAATATTTTCTTTTCATTTGTATTCGTATTGGCTGATATCTGTATAAAAAAAAAAAAAAAAAGAAAAAGAAAAACTTGTTATTTCTCGTGCCCGTCGATTAATTTACAACTTATAGATAGAGATGCATAAAGGAGGACGAAAGTCCTCGTTCAGCCCGACCGAAGACGATTTAATGCTCCGACGTCGTGAAATTCGAGGTGAAACTTGCTACATGTATATTCTTAAACTATTCTCGTTTCAACGGAAATCACGTAATCACAGCAAATTATGCACCAAAGGACACTTTATCTCGGGCTTTCTTCGGGGACAGTTAAAAAAAAAAAAAAAAAAGAAAAAAAAGAAAAAAAAACTTTCTCCGAACAAAATTGTAGATCCACAAGCATCCCAAACGCGCGCGCGAAATCGCCTCCGGTTCCCTATACATATTCACAGTCACCACCCAAGCGCAGGACAAAGAAGGAAGAAACAAAAAAAACAAAAAAAAAAACAAAAAACACTCACTCTTGAGCGCCCAGAGCTCCCTCCTGGCGAGTCCTTCGATGTACCTCGAGACGTCCCTGTGGCATTGTGCGCCGATACCCCGTTTATCAGCCCCGAGCCAATTGCCAACCAAATTCCTCGCGCTGAACACATCCAGAGCCTCGGCCATCGTGGTCCAGTTGGCGGCATTGGATCCGGCAGGTGCCGCGCTGTCGTCCTTGGCAGCCGGATCGCTCGAGTCCAGGGTCGGGACGATGGACCGCACCAGCGCCCTGCTGTCGCACCATACTCGCTCCACCGGACAGACAACGAGGAGAAGGAGGACCACCAGGGAACTCATTTTTTTTCCTTTGTTTTTACCCGTTTCTCTCTCTCTCTCTCTCTTTTGAGGAGAAGGGTATATAGTACTTTGATTTCCGTCACCGAAGGACAACCGGTCCAACTTTCGAGCGCTGCCGGTAAAATGTGTATATTATATGCTCCCTCAAGCGTTCACCACCGCCACGGTGGTACGACGCTAGGGCCGATGGGGCGGCTCGCGGTCACTTTCGCTCCCTCCGGCATTTCCGGTCGTTTGTACCTTTGGGCCGCAGCTCCCGGGATTTTAGCGTACCGTCATCACTGGCAAAACTCTCGCGCCAACACCCGCACTTTGGTCTATGTATATATGAGCGCGCGTGACAGTCCTCGGATCAAAACGCTCCTGTATCCTCCATCCTCGGTGGGATGTATTTTGACCACACAACGATCGTATGTGTACCTTTGGGTGCGCGGTACTTGGGTCGAATGTGTGCCAACGAATCGTTGGGCGTCGCGTGAGCAACTGGTGCGACTCCTCGGCCGGTTTATTACGCCAAAGTCGCTGGAGAAGTGAGGGACCCTCGCGCTCTCCGTGTGTGCGTGTGCCCCGCGCCTTCTCTCTCTTCTCGTCCATGGCGGGGCCCTCCTCCTCCTCCTCCTCCTCCTTTCGTTTGTATGTACGTTAAGAGAGGGGCTCCTTCTTTGAGTGTATGTATGTATACGTGTGACCGGTGAAAATAGTATTTAAAAATCGGCCCCTCCACTCCTCGTTCCGATGATGTGCCGGTGGGAGAGTTTTCGGCGATGAAAGATCGAGAGGAGCGCGATCGGCGTGTATACCGATGTGCCACACTCTCTCTCTCTCTTTAGGTGTGCGCATGAATACTGGTTTTTGTTTTTTTTTTGTTTTTTTTTTTACGGGAAGTAGAGAGAGATGGACCGGTTGGTTATATAGACACCCGGCATTCTTTTCCGTAACTGAGACCTTCGTTTCTTTATTTTCCAACCGATCCACACTCGAGTTGCATCGAACGATCACATTTTTTCCTGACTGCAAAAAAAGCACTTGTTTTATTTTTTTTTCTATTTTAACACACCGAGCACTGGCGTATACAAAAGTTCCACGTAGCGTGTCACATTGGCAAAAGTTCGATCGAGCTTGCGTCCCCCGGGATTTAGGGCACATCGATCCCCCGCGCGCTCTTGACCCCCTCGATGAGTCTTGAATAAAGCAATGCGAAGGTGAGCACTGACCCGATATGAACTATTCACGCGACAAATGTATATAAATATACATACTATAAAGGCTTTCCTTAAAACTTTGAAGATCGGCGCGTAATATAGTCGAGACCTTGGGCCATTCGCGGGTATTGTAGCCATAGCTGTTTGATTACTATACCCGACGCGCGTACATAGGTGCAAACGACCATTTGTCACGTTTAATTCGCTCTCGTCGCGCAAAGCTATAGGTATACATATACTTAATTGCATTGTAGATCTCCTCGTTTGCATGTGTATTGGATTATTTCGTCGGAACGTCGTTGATGAGACCTTGTGCGTGAGTGCGTGCGGTCGCGTTGGTTGTGTGAGGTGATTAATATCGAGTGACATATACGGGTGCGCAAAATATGTCGTAAAAGGAAGGGTTTGCAAATTACAGTCCTCGAGTAGAAAAATTCATCCATCGAATAAACAATCAATGATAATTACCTTTAGCAGTTGGTCCTATATGTATATATATATTAAAGTGGGATCGGTTTCTAATCGGTATATCATATAGACCTGCGATCGTCGTAGCTAAAAATCCTGAGACACGCGAATTCACTAACAGACAACCGGTAGTTTATATACTTATTAATTACAGCCTCGTGATGGTATACGCAAATACAGAAATTTGGAAAGAATTTGACGTTGGGTCTCACGCTTTTTGTTGGGTCCTCTTTCCCGTTAATACTCGCGGGGGATTTATGCGTCTGACCCACATGTCGCGGAACTTTTTTGAATACATCGTTTTTCGTTTCAAACACGTTATATAGTATTTCCTCCCCACCCTTTTATTTTATCTGTGCAGTGCGTGCGTCTCACAGATTGTCGGTGCCAAATAATAACAATATTACAATCGGAAATTCTGTTTTCGATGATGTACGTGATTGGAAAAAAAAAAAAAAAAAAAAAATCCATTGAAAACTAAAGCCAATGCGAATCTTTTCAACTCCATCGTTGTTTTTCTCCAAACGAGCAAATCAACAAAATACCATCGATCCTATATGTACAATACTCATCTCTACATCATCATAGATCGGTCGATCAATCAAACCAAAGACAAAGACTTGTCACTAACATCATGAAAAAAAAAAAATAAATAAATAAAAAAAATAGAGAATATCAGAACGAAAGTCTAGATACATATTATGTTTATGTATATATAACCACCCAAAACAATGATCGTATATATTCCAGGCCAAACGAATCAAACACACATAATATTATACACCAGTTGCATAAGTCCGACTGGGCGTGTATACGTATACACATACCTAGATATTATATATTATATCTATATACCCTTTTCTTTTTCTTTCCATCCTTCCTCGTGCTATTATCTAACATTAATAATGGAAGAAAAAGCAAGCCCCCTATGTATATACAGCCAACAACACACACGTATATATTATGTGTATACCTGTGCACACACCCACGTATTATGTATTATAAGGCGCAAAAGAAGGTTTCCAGGTTAATCGGGAAAGCCAATCTGATCCTTATTTATGTACACCATACATACATATATATATATATATATATATATATATATATACACCTACGCGCATACATATATTATGTGTACGTGTAATACCCAGCTATTACGGCTGCAATGGGTATTACACTCGCGAAGATGTTACGTCAGTTACGTAACGGGGGTGGAGGTGGGGGGGGCCGCAAAAATGTATATACAGGTATACCTGCTACAATAAAAAGACAGTTACCCCCCATCTATCGTTGGAACGGCTCTATACGTAGGTATATATATACCTATAGTCACCGCTTGCATAATAATCCAAAACGTGATTCATTAGGCCTATATACGTATACATGTATACTTACGTGTGTATACCTAGACGGCTGCACTTTCATCGGCTGCAGCTTTTTCCGGGATCGTTTCGTTTCGCGCTCTCGCGTCGTATATATATATATACAGCGGGGCTCCTTTCTCCTTCGTGCCGCTCTACAAGTCATCGGTATATATATATATATACGTATGCGTTTGAACGCGATGCGATTGTTGCTACGGTATGTAGGTATATACTTATTATACACATGTTAAACGCGAAGTAGGTAACCAGCTGACGGTGGGTTACGTGAAATTAATCGACGACTTTCATTGATGCTTTGTCACAATTCTTTTTTTTTTTTTTTTTTTTTTTTTTTTTTTTTTTTTTTTTTTTTTTTTTTTTTTTTT